AAAGCTTCATTAAATCTGTTCTAATATCTGAGTTTTTAATATTGGACTTGAGTATTTATATGCTGTGCATTAACTCTGTTGGATATGAAAACACTGTAGAAGTGGATAATCTATTCTAACATCGCTAATCATTTACTTTAAGAATAGTCTGTATGTTATTTATATGCAAGAAAATATTTTAATGTCATTGTTTTCTAGCATAAATAAAAAGAAGTTCAAAAGAAAAAAATAAACAGAGTTGAAGGCAGAAATGTACAGTTCTAAAATATAAACAGTAAATGAATAAAAGAATAAAAGAAATAACACATAAATGGATTAGAACTAATAGAAATACACAGAACACTACAATCAAAAACAGCTCAATATAAATTCTTCTTTAATGCACATAAAACATTCTCCAGAATAGAATGTGTGCTATCTTATAAAACAAGTCTTAATAAATGTAAAAACAAGGAATGAAACTAGAAATAAATAACCAAAGAAAAACTGAGAAAACAACAAATATTTGGGAATTAAGCAACAATACTTAAAACAACGAAAGACTCAAATAATAATTCACTATGGACATTTTAGAACTATGTTAAGACAAATTAAAACAAAAACACAGCACAACAGACCTTATGGAACGGAGACATAGCACTTTTCAGATGGAAATTCATTACTATAAATATCAAAATTACAAAGAAGCAAAATCTCAAATCAATAACTATAAGTCTTAAGGAACTTAAAGAGTAAAATAAACCTACATCCTGTAGAAGAAAGGAAATAATAAAGATTAAAGAATAGATAGATAAATTATGAAATAGAAAAACAGTAAAAATTTCAAAGAGACCAAATCTTGATTTATTAAAAAGATCTGCTAGATTGACAGACATTTAGTAGGATTGACTTTTAAAAAAAAGACTCGAGCCGGGCTCGGTGGCTCAGCCTGTAATCCCGCGCCTTTGGGAGGCTGAGGTGAGTGGATTGCCTGAGCCCGCGGGTTCGAGACCCGCCTGGGCAGTGAGACCTCATCTCTACAATAAATCAAAAAATCAGCCGGGCGTGGTAGCGCATGCCTGTAATTCCAGCTACTTGGAAGGCTGAGGCAGAAGGATCGCTGGAGCCCAGCAGGTGAGGTTGCGGTGGCCGGGACTGGCCACTGCACTCCAGTCTGGGCGACAGAGTGAGACTCCAACTCAAAAAAAAAAAAAAAAAAAAAGACTCCAATCACTGAAAACGGAATGAGAGACATCACTACCTACTTCACAGAAATGACAAAATCATACAAGAATGTTATAAACAATTGTATACCAACAAATTGGATAATTTAGATGAAGTGGACTGTTTTGTAGAAACATAAAAAATAATAAAAACTCAAGAAATAATAGAAATTATTACTGTGTCTAAAATCACTAGAGATCGAATTATTAATCAAATATTTCCCAACAATCAACAGAATAATACTAGATAGCTTCACTGGTGAATTCTACCAAACATTTTAAAAAGAATTAAGAGGAAGGGTGTGGTTACTCAAGCCTGCAATCCCAGCACTTTGCGAGGCCAAAACTAGTTTGGGCAACACAGAAGACCTCATCTCTACAAAATTTTTTAAAAAATAACTGGGTGTGATAGTACTTTCTGGTAGTCCTAACTACCTGGGAGGCTGAGGCAGAAGAATCGCTTGAGCCCAGGACATAAATGTTGCAGTAAGCTGTGATCTCACCACTGCACTCCAGCGGGCAACAAAGCCAGGACCAAACTTAAAAAAAATATTGTTTATGAAAATATATCCTCAAAAATACTAATAAAACTAATTCAGCAGATATAAAAGGACTATTAATTATGACTAAATGGAATTAATCCGAGGAATGCAAGATAGACTTCCATATGAAAATCAAAAAATGTAATGCACCACATCAACAGAAAAAATAAAAAATCAGCACAAAAAAGAAAAACAACAAAATCTCAAAAAAGACAGAGGAAGCATTTGACAAAATACAATAATTTTTCATGATGTAAACACTCTATAAACTAGGAATAAAAGGACACTTTTTCAACATGACAAAGACCATATATGAAAAACCCACAGCTATTGTCATACTCAATATTGAAAAACTAAAAGATGTTCCCTTAAGGTCTGAAACAAAACAAGGATGCCTGCTTTCACCATTCCTAATCAGTGTAGTATTGGAAGTTGTAGCCAGAGAAATTTGACAAGAAAAAGATTATAAAAAGCATCATAAAGAAAAGAATAAAACTATCTCTGTTTACCGATATGATTTTACATGTAGAAAATGCTTTTTTTAATTTTTAATTTAAATATGTGAGGTACAATTCAGGTTGCAAAAGTTCCTTATGCAGGTACCCTTGTTGATGAGGTCTGTCACACCCTCCACTCACCCTGGCAGTTTCCCACTTCTGCTAATCCCACCTCCATTTCCCCTGGAATTTTTCCGCTACTGCCAATCCCTTTCTATAGTATTACAACAGTTGTCCAAGGTCCACTTATGAGTGAGAATACATGATACTCGGTTCTTTGTTTCTCTGATAGATCACTCAGTATTATAGATTCTAAGTTCATCAAAGTTGTTACAAAGTTCATAATTTTGTCCATCTTTATGGCTGCATAATATTCCATCGTGCATATGTATCACATTTTTTTAATCCAGTCCTCTTTCAATAGGCAGCACAGTTGGTACCATGTTTTTGCTATTGTAAATAATGCTGCAATAAACATGTGTGTACAGGTATCTTTTTCATAAAGTGATTTGAGTTCCTTTAGGTATATTCCATGCCCATAGATTGGAAGAATCAACATTATTAAGATATACATCCTACCCAAGGCATCTACAGATTTAACGCAATACCCAATAAATTACCAGCAGTACTCTTCTCAGACTTGGAGACAACAATGCAGGAATTCACATGGAAACATAAATGACCACGAATAGCCAAAAAAATTCTCAGGAAAAAAAAAAAACCCAAAGCAGGAGGCATCATGCTCCCAGACTTTAAGCTTTATTATAAAGCTACAATAATCAAAACAGCCTGGCACTGGTACAAGGACAGGCATATAGACCAATGGAGCAATATAGAGATTCCAGAAACAAACCTTCAATTTCTCAACCAACTCATCTTTGACAAAGCCTCCATCAACCACTGAGGAGAGGAGAACCTAGTCTGTAAATGGTGCTGTGAAAATTGACCACATGCAGAAGATTAAAACAAGACCCCTACCTATCAACATACACAAAAATCAACTCTAAATGGATCAAAGTCCTAAATGTAAAACCTCAAACTATAAGAACCTTAGAAAATGCAGGAAATGGAAATTGGAACTGTCAACCAATTCCTGATCAAGACCCCGAGAGTGCCCGTGCCATAAGAGATAAGAAAATTCTAATGAACACACATGCAAACACAGTAGAGCTAGTTAAATAATCTAGTTAGGTTGTAGGCTATAACATCAACAAGCAAATGTCAGTTGTTTTTGACATTATTAAAGATTGAACTAAAAGTTAAGAAAACAGTTCAATTTGCAATAGCATTAAAAAGAAAAATTATATATAATTAAGTATAAATTTAATGAAGGAGACACAAAATTGTACACTGAAAACTGCCTAACATTGCTGAAAAGTCAAAGAATACTAAATATATAAGTGATGGAATATTTGCCATTGTTAAGATGACAATATTGCTAAAGTGATATAAACATTTAACACATTCCTTTTTAAAATCTTATGGTGTTTATTACAGAAATGGAGATGCCTATGCCAAAATATAAATCTATTGGATTTTAAGGATTTCAAAGTAACCTAAAGACCCAAATCAATTTTGAAAATCAGAACAAAATTGGAGAACTCAAACTTCCCAATGTCAACATTTACTACAAAGTAATATTAATGAAGACAGTGTCGTAGTAGCACACAGATAAGCTTATATATCAATGGAATAGATTTGAGAATTGAGAAATAAATTCATACACATAAGGTCAATTGATTTTCAACAAGGGTGCCGAGACCATACAATGGAAAAATAACAATATTTCAGTAAATAGTGTTGGAGAAACTGAATGCACATATACAAAAAACTGGACAATTATAACATTTTAAAAATTGAGCTCAAATGTATTAAAAGTCTAAACTTTAGAGCTGATACCATAACACTCTTAGAAGAAAACATAGAAAAAATCTTTATGACCTGGAATTTGGCAATGGTTTCTTAAATAAATATACTAAATACACATAATCAAAAAGAAAAAATAGATAAATTGGACTTTGTTTAAATTAAAATTTGTTGCATCTCAAATGGCAATATCAAGAGACAAAAAAGTGAAACCATTAAATAGGAAGAGAAAAGTAACATATATTATAGCAACTCAATATTGAGACTACATTTTTTAAAAACTCCTATAATTAGACACCCAAAATACAAATTACCCAATTAAAAAGTAGGCCCAGGCTAGAATAAACATTGTTCCAAAGAAGATATAAAAGTATTTTTAAAAATCACATGAAAGATGCTTAACATTACTAATCATTAGGAATGCAAAGCATAACCACGAGATACCACTTTGTGCACTTTATAATGACTGTTATCCAGAAAAACAAAAAACAACTGTTGGCAAGGATGGGGATAAAATGGACCCATATATTGCGGATGGGAAGGTAAAACATGAGGCTACTGGGAAAGCATATTGGCAGTCTCAAAAAGTTAAGAAAAAGAATTTACCCAAACTTTATCTGTACAATGACCATTTGTGTACCTAACACTGAATTGTGCCCTGCATCTTTAAAATAAAAACAAAATTGAAAAAATAATTAGTATGTGATGCATAAATTCCACTTATATGTATGTAACCCAAATAATTGAGCATAAAGTCAAATAATATGCTTGTACAAAAAAGTTTACAGTCACGTACAGGCAAAAATATACTGAAACTTGAAAAGGGAAAGCATTTTATTGAATATCCTACTAAGCTCAAAAGACAGTGTCACCTCCCACAGCGTTGGTGTTCATTAAAAGCATCTTCTATGAACCACAGCTGCCCCGAATTCTTTGAAGTCTGCTGAGATGATCCATCTCTGCTTGAAACTGCTCACAGAGGTCAGGATGGATGCACCAATCCATGTAGAGAAACATCTTTCAGGACAAGCCAAGATCTTGATGGAGGTTCCTTCGGAAGCCAGCTTTTCCAGGTCTTTCATGAGCCTTTCCTCCAGCCCAGGCAAGAGTGTGGTGCCCCCAGACAGTACAATCTCTGCAAAAAGGTTCTTCTGGATATCAGTGTCACACTTCATAATGCTGCGGCAGATCATTTTTGATAGTCCTGGGTTGTGGATGTCCAGCCGGCTGGGTGTAAAAAGAATCTCAGGCACTTGGTGCAGCAGATCCCCAATACGGATGACATTTCCATCTGGAAGTTCGAATTCTTTCGTGACCTCCTCCATTCTCTTGCATAGCTCTTGCTCTGGCTCCAAGGCGATGTAGCACAACTTCTCTTTGATGTGATTTACCAAGGGTTTCTGAAGTATGAAAGGGAAGGTACACCTGCTAGCAAAGAGGATCCTGGTGAGGAGCTCTGTGATGTCCCTCCCTGCCACATATAGCTTGGAGACTGCATGAGGTAGAGAGTAACCCTCAAAGACAGGGACAGTGCAAGTGAGCCCATCGCCACTGTCTACCACCAGGCCTGTGATGCAGGCAGAAGCATGCAGTGCTGCCACTGCATGGTTGAACAGGTAGAAAGCAGGCACGTTGAAGTTTTCAAACATCATTTCTGCAAGTTTTTCTCGAGTCTCTTTTGGGTTCCAGGAGGGCTCAGTCATGAGCACAGGCTGTTGACTGGGGTTTACTCCCAGCTTCCTCTCAAAAAGATATTCCCAAAGTTTCTCCAGGTCATCCCAATTTGTTACCAGTCCACGCTTAATGGGGTGGTGCAAACATAAGGCCTCATAGGTGCACAGAACTTCACTCCCTGAGAAGTATTTCTTTTGATTGGCTCTTGCTGAAGATGGCTCAAATTTAGTATGCCCCACAACAGAGTTGATGACATGACGGGGCCCAATTTCTCCAGACAGGCCTGCTTTACTGAGTCCTGATCCATAGTCAAAAATCACAGCGGGAACATCTAATACATGCCTTTTAAACATGTCTGCCACATGCTCCTCTGTACAAAATAAAGAAAGAACTCTCAGGTTACTTTGTGAGATAACAGTTTACCTTTGGAAGCTTTAAGGGCACAGGATTCTGAAGTTCTCAGGTTGGCACTAGGAAGAGCTAGTAGGCTGCTTCTAATCCACCAGAATATCCCGTCTTCAATCCCCGAGACTCATCTCCTTTCTGATGGCCCAGGGCCTGCTGAGCCAATTTTTAAAGGAGGATTTCCCTTTTGTAACAATGCAGCCAAGGCAACAATTGTCCTCAGTGAGCATCAGAGGGGCGGGGTCACTGAGTTACCAGTACTCCTTATTTAGTGAGCCTTAAAGCGACGAAAGGCAAACCTTACCTATAGACAGCCATGATAAGCCTGTTGCCCAAAGCAGAGGCCTACTTTTAGAACAAAGTGAAGGTGCAAATCCTCGGTCTTTTCCCAGAGAATTGCTCACTCTGCTCTGCTGAGCTGTTGTTTGTGAAATGGCAAAAACACACTTTCCTTTGGGAGAAAATAAACTAAGCACTAGAAACAGGGTTAAATCTGATTTGGGATACGTGTAACTCAGTTACAACAGGCATTTAGAATGCTCATTTTATTTTCTCTTACATTTTTAAAAACAGCTTTGAGATAAATTCCACATATCATCCAATTTACCCATTTCAAGTATGCAATTTAATGTGTTCTAGTACAGTCACTGATAACTGCAAATGTTACAAAAGTCAGATAAATATTTCCGTCACCTCAAATAGAAACCCATATCCTTTAGCTATCACCCTACCTTCAGACAATCCTCAGAGTACTAAGCAACCACTAATGTATTCCACATCTTTATGGGTACCATCTTTGCATATTTCTTACAATGGGATGATATAATATAAGACCATTTGTGATTGCCTTCATTTACTTTACAGAATGTTTTCAAGGTTCATCCAGTCTTTGAGTAGTACATATTTTGTTTATCCATTTATCGGTTGATGAACATTTGGATTGTTTCCACCATTTGACTATAATGAAGTATTCTACTGGAAATAATCTTGTACATGCTTTTTAATAAACATAATTTTCATTTAATTTGGTTACATACCTAAAGGTAGAAAAGTTGAGTCATATTACAATTCTATGTTTAATTATTCCCAGAAATTTCAGTCTTTTTTCAAAGCAACTGAGACATTTAAGTTCCTACTAGCAGTATTTGTGTGTTTTTCACATGCTTGCCAACACTAATTAGTACCTGAATTTTTAATTCTAGATATCATAGAAAGTGTAATTGGCATCTCTTATGGTTTTGATTTGTATTTCCTTGATGACTTATGCAAAAGGAAATGCAAATCAAAATGATGATGATACTAATTTACATCCACTAAAATGGTTGTTATAGAACAATGAAAAATACCAAGTATTTGAGGATACGGAGAATTTGGACCACTTATACATTGCTGGCGGAAATGTAAATGATGAAGTAACTGTGTGTCTTGTTTATTTTCTGTTGCTATAAGAGAATAGCACACACTGGATAATTTATAAAGAACAGATATTTATTTGCCTCATAGATAGATCTAGAGGCTGGGACGTCTACGAGTATGACACTGCTACCTAGTGAGGAGCATCCCATGGTGGAAGGCATACAGAAAGTCTAAATAATTCTTTTATCAGGAGCCCACTCTGGTGATAACAAATTCACTCCCATGATCACATCATTAATTTATTAATGAGGGCAGAGCTCTTATGACATAATCACTTCTCAAGAGACTCACCTCTTAATAGCCACATGGCAATTAAATTTCAAAATGAATTTTGGAGATGACATTCAAATCTTAGCACTGTGGATAAAAGACATTTTGGCAAGTCTTCAAAATTAAACATGGGATTAATATTTGACCTATTGATTCCACTCCTAGGTATGTACCCCACAAATAAAAAAACAGATGCTCAAACCAATAGTATTTTATGAATGTAAATAGCAGCGCTGAGTTGGCACAGTGGCTCATGCCTGTAATCCCAGCACTTTTAGAGGCTGCAATGGGAAGATTGCAGGAGCTCAGGAATTTGAGATCAGCCTAAGCAACATAGTGAGTTTCCGTCTCTAAAAAACAAATGAAGAGACAAACAAATAAAGCAAAAAAAAAAAAACAAAAAACAACAAAGCAAACAGCAACTTGGATGGACTCAGAGCCTATAATACTGAATGATCTATCACAGAAACAAAGAACTGAGTATCACATGTTCTCACTCATAAGCAGAACTTGATCAATTATCATAATGCTATAAGAAAAGTTTTGGCAGTAGCAGGAAACCACCCAGGAGCAGGGGTGGTCAGGATTGGCAGTAGTGGGAATCTGCTGGGAGATGGGGGGAACATCTCATCAACAAAGGTACCTGCATAATGAACATTTGTATACCTAACTCTGAATTGTAACCCGTATCTTTAAAATAAAAAAATTTAAAAAAAAAATAGTGGGCATGTAGCATGCAACTGTAGTCCCAGCTAGTCAGGAAGCTGAGGTGGAAGGACTGCTTGAGCCCAGGAATTCAACACTGCAGTGAGCTGTGACCATGCCACTGCATTCCAGTCTGAGTAACAAAATGAGATCCAGATTGAAAAAAGAAAAGTACTCCTATTAACAATAGATAGAAGGTGGAATCAGCACACAAATGTCTACTAATGGGTGAATGTATGAACAAATTGTTTAATATATACTAGAATAATAGCCATGAAAAGCATAAAGAATTGTCACAAAATCATTGTAACATGGATAAAGCTTAAAAACTTTATGCTAAGTGAAGCCAGACACAAAATGTCACATATTGTATGATTCCACAAAATATCCAGAATACCTAGACTCATCAAAACAGATAGTTGATTCATGTTTACCAGTGCCTGCAAGGAGATGGGAATAGCAAGTGATTGCTTAATATTTATGGGGTTTTCCTTAAAAGAGAAAAAATATTTCGTAACTAGATATGGGGGTGGTTGTACAATATTGTATAGCTTCATTAAAAATTAACATAAGGGAGAAGTAGCAAGATGGCGACGAGGCAACCCGGTCTCTGAAGCCCTCTGCAAAGGAGATCTGCAGTGGATCTCTGACTCTCGCCCCGGGGGGCTGTGGACCCCAACATTGCAGCCTGCTCTTCACACAGAGCTCGGCCATTGCCACTGCTGGGACATCGCAATGGACTGGACAGTCACTGCGGCGCAAATGGTGCTGCCACCGTTGCCGCTGCAGCCCCACCCCCACCGCCACTGCCGCGGCCTCTGTGACAGTCGTAGCACATCACACCACCCAGGCCCGAGGCAATCCACATCAAACCCCTTCAGGGAAGATCTGCTGGGATCACTGCCACCTCTCCTGTGACTGAGACTATCCTGCCCACCTGTCATAAGGCTTCTGTTGCCTGCTCTGAGACAGGCAGCTATCTTGTTCCTGTCCAGCCCCACCCCCTCTGGGGCGAGCAGCTGAGATAGCACCACATGCTGGCGATTCAAGGAAACAACACCAAAACGGGAGAAACACGCTTGATAAAGACATAGACCAAAGTGCTGAATGGAGGGTAATCTGAACTGTCCTTCACAGCAGATCAGGGGCAACTGACCCTAACTGCAAACTAATTTACCAGTTTGAAAAGAAAACTAGAAACCAGACCTGAAAGGACATTGGACTTAAACGAAATGTCTCAGAGTGTGCTTCATTGATTCTATTAGTTTAATGACTTAATTCTATTCCTACTGTATTGTTCCCTTTTTAATTTTTTCCTTTTCCTTTTCTGCCCTTTTCTTCTCTCTGTAAATGATATCTTTGTATAGAGGAACAGCACACTAATAAGGTGGTTGGTTAGCTTGTATGTTAGCATCACTATATGTTTTATTTTTATTTTTTATTTTTTGTATGAGGGTTGGTCTGTAGCTGTGGTCTATTGTTTTTATCTGTTTCAGTATAGGCCTCTTTCTCTATTTGTTGGCACACTCGTTTGTTTCCCCCCTTAATCCTCTATCTCTCTACTCCCCTCTCCAACCCACTATCTGCTCCATTCTCTCCCCTCTGCTAACCACATTTTATTTCAGGGAGTAAACCTACAGCCCCACTGCACGGACAGATTCCAGGGCAGTGGGAAGTGGGCTCCACATTATCCACACACCTGTCAGCGAATACCAGGACCTGCAGACAGATTTTGAATCACAGCTCTCCCCTTAAGTAAATCTCAAAACTGCAAAAAGGACCACCTCCAATCTACAGTGCAACTCCAGAATTGAACAAAGTAAGAGGACATACATAAAGAATAGAAGATTGAACAAACAGAAGTAAAACCAATCCCTTTCCCCCTGAATAACAGAATTAAAGAAGACGGTGACATGGAGGGAAGAAAAAAGTAGGGAGGGGGAAAAATTGCACAAATGAAGAAAAAACGAAAGAAGAATATAGGTCTTACACAGACCACTGGGAAATCACACACTGAGAAAATAGATTCTGGAACACAAACAATGAAGAGCCCCCAGAATGACTGGTTACATGTAACAAACCCAGACATCAAGACATTAATAGAGAGAATTAAAAAAATTGAGGAGAGACAAGAGGAAAATAGGAAGGAGCTGATGTCAGAAATGACAGCAGTAAAGAATACTGTGATGGAAATGAACAACAGACTAATAAGCATGGAAAGCAGAATCAGCCAAGCAGAATAAAGAATCTCAGAGCTCGAAGACCAAAACACAGAACTAACCCAAACTGTCAAAAGCATAGAAAAGCAGCTCAAAAAGACAGAACAAAACCTGCAAGAGATGAATGATCACTTCAAGAGACCAAACCTAAGAGTAATTGGGCTTCCTGAGGCAGAGAGAGAAACAGAGGCCACACTGGAACAAACATTTCATGAAATCATTCAAGAAAACTTCCCTCATCTCATTAAGGATGAAAAAATTCAAACACAAGAGATTCAGAGAACCCCTGCAAGTCAACAAATGAGAAGACCAACTCCCAGACACATAATAATTCGCCT